AATAGTGTTGGTGGGGAGCCTCATATGACCACCCACAAATAGAGGGAGCGAAAAGAAAGCCATAATCTGGTCCTGGGGGCCGGGTGCTCCTTCCTTTCATCAGCTCCGCCCCCACCCCATCTTCTCACAGGTTCCCAAGGCATAGGCTCCCTTCTCCTCTTCCAGGGAGGAGTCTAAATGGCTTTCCAAAAGGGTCACCTTTTGCAACCAGGTAGGTTAAGGGGAGTCTCCCATCAAACGCAGAACTTTGACCCAAGAGGGAGAAAGTTAATTGTTCAATTCTCTTGCAAGGAGGAGAAAATCTTAACTTGGTACTACTGTACGTAACATCTTTCTAACAGCTGCAAATCCCACCCACCCGCGCTTCTCTTCCTTTTTAAACAGAGAGCAGACCCCAGCTCAGAGCCTTGGAGACAGCGTATCCGGCTAGAATCCAAGAATGTGGTATTCTTCTCATCGTGTTTATTTTTCCATTTGCCTCCGGTTTATATCAAGTGATCCTGGATTTCTATTATGGTAGTGACATAAAGTTTCTTTTTCATATTTTTTTTTGAAGTTTAAAAAAGCGCAAATTCGTGTATTAAAAAAAAGTAAGTAAATAACAGCACAGGTGGAACGTAGCTCATGAAAAACTCAAAATCTTTGAAGTGATAAGGGATTTATTATAGTTTGGGAAACAAAGTCTTGGGCACTAATCCCATACTCTTCTGAAAACAAAACTCAAATCACTCACAGAGCAAGACCTAGAGGTCTTGGGGGTCAGGGAGTTGGGGGCCCATGCAAACTGAGTGGAGAAGTGCTAGTTCTGGCCTCACCACTGGCCGATCACATCACTCGGGCGAGTCAGGGGGCTACTCTGAGCCTCGGTCACGTCTTTTCTTTAGTGGAAGGGCTAAGTTAGGGCGCTGACTATGAAAACATTTGTGTGCTACCCAGCTGCAAAGTATCTGTACCCTTTCTGCGGCTTATGAGTACCAGGCAGGGTGTCCAGTCCGACTGGAGGCTGCTAGGCACCAGAGACTGTCCTGATCAATACAGCGGTGAACAAGCAGCAAAAAGCTGTGCCCTCGTGGGGCTTACGTGAGAAAGTGCTTTAAAATGCTAGCGGTAAAGTGCAAGGATAAAGTGATGCTTTTTCACAACAATCCACGCTCATGGGGGCACGTTTCCTGAGTACATAGAGACCAGAAGAGAACCATTTCTAAAACTATGATGAGCAGGGACAAGGCCACCTCACGGCCCCTGCTGAGGGACGACTGCAGCTTTCCCAAGGCCCAGGTGCAAGACGAACGTCAGGAAGAAACCAAGGAAGATGAAGAAAGAGGAAAGGGAAGATGCTCTGAGGCTCCCAAGCATGCTGAGTCTCTTTCCACATTGGGTTCGTGTGTTTGATCTAATGGAGAACTGATTCAAGCCACAAAAAAATTAAAAAGAGGAAGGAAAATCCAGATGTTCTAGATCAGGGGGTGCAAGCTATGACTCACAGACCAAATCCAGCCCGCAGACTGTTTTCCTGTGGCCCTCCAGCCAAGGATGGTTTGTACATCTTTAAATGGCTGGAGAAAAAATTCTAAAGGCGATGAATACTGTTTGACTCATGCAAAGTGTATGAAATTCAATTTCACTGTCCACAAATAAAGTTTTATTTAAACATAGCCACGTCCATTCGTTTATTATTGTCTATGACTGTTTAGTGCCATAGTCCAGAGGTGATCAGTTGTGATACAGACCATGCAGCCCCTTAAGAAAAAAAAAACTTACTATCTGGCCCTTTGCAGAAAAGTTTAACACTTTGTTCTAGAAGAAAAGTCAACATCACCGGGCCATCCTCATACTAGAGGCTTAACAAATTCCCGCCAATTCCCACCATCACCCCTATTAGGCCTCACCGTCACCCCCTAAGCACGTGTGTGGCCGTGGACAAGTTACTTCATTTCTCTGTGCTGAAGGTAGCCATGAGAACTGTAGAAACCTGTTCTAATGTTGTTCATATCTCACTGGGTTGTGTGTTCCGAGGGGCAGGGATAGTACTGCCTTCCCAGCTCTGTCACCAGTGCCCACACATATCAGGTGGTCACCCAAGTGTTTGTTGAGTGACTGTTGAACAGCCCCCTCAACAACAGCCACATAGTAGGTGAACAGCAAATGTGACCTTCACCGGGCTTGAAAAGATGACCTCAGGACTCCGTGAAAAGGAAGTCAATGGAGCGAACCTAAGCCAGGAGAGGGATGGGGAGGCTACACCAGGTGGCAGAGCGGAGTTCCTGGCCGGTGGAAAAGTCTGATGACAAGATGAGGGGATGTGTGCGCCAAAGGGGAAGGAGGGCACCGGCAGCCCCCCAGCTGCAGCCAAGGGGAGAAGTGAGCCCAGATGCACCCTGAATGTGGGAGCCTGTAGATTCCTGTGCCAGGCTCAGAGGGGCCAGCCTCAGAAGCAAGCAGCTCTACGGGTCTGACTGCGTGACCTTGGCGCTGGCCTGCCGCCACTTCCTCCCTTGTACTGGGGAGAAAGGTCTTCTAGTCAAGCAGCCACCCTCTTCCCAAAAAATGGGTTTGGAAATTATTTCAGCCTAATAATTCTTGAGGAGGTCTCCCCAGGATGGGGGTCCACAACTCCCAGACCCCAATGCAATGGCCTAAAGTTATCGGCTGCCCCCCTACCAAACACCACCAACGCGCCTCTGATATGTCCTCCCCCAGCCCTCAGCACCCAGTGCCCGGGAGGGACGACGTCCTTGTCCCTCCTGGCCGGAACAGCTGCCTCAGGCTCGCTCTGCCGGCCAATTAGCC